TAGGAAAATTAAAACGCAGCTCATTTAAATATTGGAGCCAAGCTTCACAGTATGACCGTGGATGGTTGATTTTGATTTATTTAGCATTCCTGCTAATTGACGTAATGTTGAGCGTGGGTTATTCTCGATTTCTGTGGTGGACGGCCTACCTGGGCGTTCTTGATCTTCAAGGTCGAAATTTCCAGCTTTAAACCGAGCAAACCACTTCCGCACAGTTCTTTCGGCTACAGCATCCTCGCCATAAACAGCGCATATCTTATTTGCCGCTTGTGTGGCATTTTTGCCCTTTCGGAAAAAGAAAAGCATTAAATGCCTATAATGCGCTTTATTTGCCACCATATTCTAAGGCGTACAAAACTGATAAAAATTAACGAATCGTAACCAAGCTTTTTTCCAAATATGGCTGAAGAAGTTATCTCTTTTAGAATATATGTACACATGTCATTTGTTTTCAATAATTGTGATATTATTCAGTCAGGTCTCTCACGCTACCTACCGAAAATCGGCACGAACTTTCCGGACAACCCAATATTACCCGGATTGTCCGCGCTAAAGCGGACGAGAGGCTCCTAAATCGCGAGAGCAGCCGCGCATTATTCGGGTCTGACCGGATCGGTATTCTCTTGCAGGCAAAGTGGAGATGATAACCGGCGTGGGAAAAGCGACTCCGCCGAATCTGACGAAATGGGGCAACCCGAACAGGCCGATCGTGCAAAGCGGCATATTCGGCAAATACATGGTCAGCCCATCGAACGACGCGCTCTTCGTTCTGAACGGGGAAACGAGAACGATAAACTGCGAGATCGGCGGCCTGGTGCATCCCGGTGCAGTGGTATGGTTCACGGTGTCGTCGCATTGAGATCGCGACGACGTGTATCGGTAATCATTTAACCGACGCGACGGTGATAGCGCCGGGTACGATCGGCGGGAACGATACAGTGTGATCGTAGAACCGAACGGGTTCGCGTTCGTTCGTTCGTTGATGTCGCGCGACGATCGGAGTTCCTTTCGAAACGCATTCGAGACGAGACGCCGTAGTCCCAACGATTGGAACGCGAAATTTTTTAAATCGATAACGCAATACAATTCTGGTACATCGCGCGGTTGAAGTACTCGATGCGGCAAAGGTATCAAACAAAATTGAACAAGATATTTATTTCGAGATTCAACGAGGTAAATAAATATTCGTTTGATTCTGTACATTAGTCGTTGGTCGTCGTTCGCATAAAAGTCCGCGAGTCTCCGGGCAAGAGATCGAAGAATTGCGTTCACGATATGCTTGCCAGTCGATTTTGCCACCACGCTATATCCATTCCGCCCGAGGTGGTATCACGGTATCGCGGTATCGAAGCGTTGTTCGATCGACGTGATAGAGTAAACGTAGCATTCTTTCGTTTAGATTAGACTCGAATTAGAGGAGGAAACGGTCGGGAGAAATTTCGAGAAATATATTATATTCCATCAGCGACACCGTTACCCGCGGTCGATCGTTGGCCCGTCGAAGAAACGTTTCCGCGAGATCCTCGCGAGCGATCGCCGCGTATTTTTCGACACCCGTCGAGCGTGTTCGGACGAGAAATTTTGATCGTGACGGGGTAAGTCGCGGGACAGCCGTAGCTAAGACTTTTTAATGTACATACCAAAGATCGTCTTTTACATGCATATTTAACGTATCTAATATCGTTACCCTACCGGTGGCCTTAGTTTCTCTCGATTCCGCATATCGTCTCCGTCTTTGTATCTATATACATATTACCTCCGACATCCCTCGGATAAATTTTCAATGGCTATAAATGGTACGATTAGTTTCCCATTTAGTGGTCTAGTTCTAGACTGTCTAGAGTAACCAGCATCATATCCCGAAACACGGCCAACGGAAAACGAGAAATTCCAAACCGTGACGAGTCGATGGATCGCTCGAGCACCCGACGAATACCGATTACCGAGAATTCGGCATTTCGGGGGGACACGGTGCTTCGACGAACTTATTTTCTTTACAATTTGGGAACGATCTGTCCGAAGGCCTTCGCGAAAATAGGACAGCGGCAACCGAAGAACGTGCCTCCCAAGAATAGCTTGTGCCGTATCGTGAACATCGAAGGATCCATTCGTCGCGTATCGTCATCGTTTCGTCCGGTCGAATTCGACCAGACTGAGTCGCGTCGAAACAAAATCTCGGGCATCCGACAATTCTTTTATTTCTCTTCAAATTTGTAATTTGTGATTTGAAAACTCTTGTAAAACGATCCGCGTGATCGAAAATACTTTATAGCCGATCCTCTTCGTTCGCATGTTGTACAGGCGGTCTAATGAAGTAGAAAAGAAATAGTCGCAAAATTGTACGATCAAAAAAAAAAAAAAAAAGAAAATAAACATCAACAATTCGATTCGCGATTTTTACAATGAAACATCTCCGCAGGCGTTCGATATATCAGCTCGTGAACAGTACGCTGACGACGGATATGATGATTTATGATAACGCATGCGTGTGTACTCTGTGTGTGTGTGTGTGTGTGTGTGTGTGTGTGAACGCGTGTGTCCGTGTGTGTATATGCGAGTGGATGTGCATCCGCGCGAGTGCGTACGAATACGAACATTACGTATTATGATGATGATGATAAAGATGATAATTATTATTATTGTTATTATTATTATTATTGTTAATACTATTATTATTACTATTATTATAATGACAATGAAAACAAGTCAAATGAATATCTTGTAATAAAATTACAACAAAACTAATTTAATAAATAATCTGCAAATACAACGTTTGTTTTTGCTACACAATGTACATGCAGATTATAAATATGTACAGAGCGAGCAAATAACAGTTGTCGTCTGAAGCAACTTGTTCATTGATGTTGCCAAAAACTGTTTTACACGAGGATACGTTGCATTCGACGGAGCTCGTTTGCGATTCGATCGCGTCTTACGAGCCTCGGTTCGTCCGAGCGTCGAGTGGATCGAAGATCGCTCTGCGACAGAATTATCAAGGACGCGGAAAAATCTGTTCGTATTTCGTGTAACACAGTTTATCGGTCGGATCGATAAACAACGACAGTTATACTTCGGACGACAATTCTTATCGGCTCGTTCGGTACATGTTTATGTATGTTAGCAGTCTTGTATCCGTTCGGGTAAAAGAGGAAAAAACGATGATACAGCGAATGGTTATACAATCTGTCGTTAAACGGGCATAAGTTTAAGTGTCTTCTAGTCGTAATGTTCACCTTTTATTCGCTAATAAATTAACGTCTGTTCAAAATCCTGGAGTCTATGTTTAATCACCTACTGTACAAACTCGACGCATACGTTTACACGTTTATCGGCTGGTATAAGTATTATAATTCTCAGTCCTTCTCCCAAGTATATACATATACATACTATACACATATATTAATGTAGGGATCGATAATCGAAGCAAGACGATCGTACGGGCGAGGCTGCTGCTTGCCTCCGAAAAACTGAATGGGAAAATAATTTGGCGGGTTCGGCGAAAGACGAGACACGAAGACAAGGTGCGTACGATGGATACGAATACGAAAGGGACAAAGGGAATACGTGAAAGAGAGCGATAGAGAAAGGAATAGAGAAAGTCGTTTCTTGTGTGATACGACGGCAACGGGGACAGCGTTGGCGACAGTGATTCATAGCAACCATTTCATTTTGTCGTATTTTCTTTTCGTCACATTCAAATATATGTTACTTTCTTCGCATCGATGCGTCGATAATCTCTCTGCTCCCTACATTAATACATACATACATTAATATATACATACGTATACATATGCACACGCGTACCCATATACGTATACATACGTATACACATATATGTTAATATATAAGCACATATCAACAGTTCCACTCACAGACTCTGTTTTCGCGATCGACGTCGACGATTCGATGACCGTGAAAACGGCGTTGCAACAAACGTTCAACGGAAGAGACGCGCACGATCTTGCTGCTAAACGACAATCGGCAGTCAACAAATAAGACGCGTTGATCGGGTTGTACAAGCTACGCTGTGTCCGCGGGATGCTCGCGAGAAGAATCCCGAGACAACGAGAAACAATGGCACGCAAGAGAGGAACAGGGGACACGAAAAGGAGACTGGCCACGAGCAGATCACCGGGAAAAATAAACAATGAAATTTCTGAACAGTTTTCCATTCGATACGACGACGTAGTTCGGTAAACGTGTCGACGGAACACCTGAGAAACCGCTCCATCGACTCTCCGCAACCCTCCCATTTCCCCACTTTTACTCTCTCACTAGCATCACTTCCCCAGATTCTCCAGGTTCTTGGATTCAGCACCGGTTATATATTGCACGGTTTTATATTGGTCCCTTGCCGACTGTAAAAAAGTATATAAGCGTTGCTAAAGTCTTCGTCCTGAGGCTTCTGCCTGCTCGTAATCTCGTCATTGTAGTAGTACCACACGTCCGTCCGTGGATTCTTCGCGTATGCTGTATAATGTCCGGCCGATACTCCTACAAATTATAAACCGTTGTCACGCATGCGTGAAAAATATCATGAAACTTGTGAACTTCAAACTAGACGAATGTTCCGAGAGTATAGAAATATTCCCGCACCCTGCCATATCCTCCTAGAAAAATCTAAATAACTCGCTGACCAATTGTCCGAATTTAATATTCTTCGACACAAATTATGCGCAATGATACCGTGCATCGATTCCAACCAATTAAATCTCGATAATTACGTTTATTTGTGGTTTCTTAATAAATGGCCCATTTCTAAACCATGAAAAATTGTCGACACATATATACAGGGTGTTCCACAATTATTTTAACAGCCGAAAATAAGGGGTAGCTGAGGTCATTTGAAGTAACTTTTTTCCTTTGCGAAAATGCAATCTGCGACTTTGTTTACGAGTTATTAACGAAAAACACTGACCAATGAGAGATGACGGCGCGAAGTTCGGGAGGCAGCAGCACGAGGCTTTGACAGAAGGTCGTGACTGACTCGAGCCGCGTTCGAAGTATTGAACAAGTCACGAAGCGAGAACTTTCCGGATCTTTTTTACCACGTAACAGTGATATTTTTAAGAAAAACGCTGTTCACCTTTACTTTAGAACGTCTGAGGAATATTTACTAATTCTTCGGACCCGAAATAATATGTAGTTTAACCGTGACAGCCGTTTTAATTTTCTGGTGTGCATGACACCTCGTGCGTACCATATGAAATTTTTATGCAAGATGTACAGTGAAGATTAACGAATGATTTGCAAAACTGATTTAATAATAAATAATCGCGTTAAAGGACGTAAAGGATTTGTTTATTAGAGAAATATGAAAAATATTATCAGTAAGAAACTCACCCATTTAGTTGAGGATGCATTTGCTG